GCAACATGAGTACCTCATCCGAACTTCATCTCTAACGCTCCAAAAACGTTCATTTTCGCGTCCAATCATCTTCGAAACCTGTAACTCTACAAAACTAAAGCACAACTGGGTTTTGTATCCCAACACGTCTAGAATGCCTATAAATGCATGTGATTATCCTATGAAATCTAGACAAACTCTCATAAAAATATAGAGAAAAATAGGAGTTATCAATAGTTCCTAGGTCGAATTAAGAATTCCTTATCAAGTCTCACATATGCGTTTAGAATTAATAATTGAACCTATATTATGAACGAATTCCGATATTAATTAATCTAAATTCCTTTGCAATTAACTAATCCAAGTTCAATTTATAGGGTGATCAATCCTAAGAAAGCATTATGTTCAATTTATAATACCTGATCTAACTTAGACATGCATCAATCGTTTAAGCACATTGATAATTCCGTAACATGGCTAGATTCCCTAGCCTACAGCAAGTGGACTACTCACACATTATGGAGGAAAGCAAAGCAGACATGGATTCATACAACATTTCAATAGGAAAAGGAATAGAAGAGTTACTGCGTAAAGATTCGATCCTTGAATAATCAAAATGTAGCAATCTTCACTCTAATTCGTCCCCCAAATGTTGAGAACCAAAAAAACAAGTAAAAGTCTCGAAAAATATGAAAATCTGCGAATCCCATCTCTGATCCGTACGGTCGTTTTTATAGAAACCTCGAAATATCGATGTTAGAAACCTCGATATCGATATTTTCTAACATTGATATTCTTCCAAAATGTCTCGATCTCGATGTTATAGAAGGTCGATATCGATGTTGAAGAAGGTCGATATTGAGGTTGCTCAAATCTCAAGGTATTGAACATCGATATCGATGTTCTCAACATCGATATCGATGTTCTCAACATCAAGATTCTTCCTTTTTCGCTCCGTAGTCCGTTTCTCACCCCTGATAAGTCTGTGACCTTTCTTAGCTCGTCCGTGATCGTCCACTTGGTCCAATTAAGCTCCAAAAACACCTTTTTAGCTCTGTTTTCGTCCGAATATGCAAATATTCCTGAAATGACATCAAAGAATAAAGAAAACAGTATTTGTGTACAAAATGCAGCCTAAATGCTAGATTTGTATGGAAAAATGATGTGAAATGCAACTAAAACTATAGGAAAATAACGTCAAAAATCGATGTCATCATGTTATGATCGGCCGAGCAGAACATCAAAGTCGAGAAGAATGTCCTAGTGGGTGGAAAGAGTCTAACAAGAGGAAGCGTTTCAAGAGCAAGAAAGACAAGGACAAGACGGCAACTGGTGCCGCCGAGCTAAGTCTAAGGCTGAGAAGGGAGAGTGCCATTTCTACCATGCTATGGGACATTGGCGCAGAAACTGCAAACTCTACTTGGAAGATCAGAAGAAGAAGAAGCTTGCAGAAGTTTCGTCTTCAGGTATCTTTGTTATAGAAGCTAACTTGTTTACTTCTACATCATGAGTATTAGATACCGGATGTGTCTCACACATTTGTGGCAATGTGCAGAGCCTGAGAAGAAGTAGGCATTTGGCGAAGGGAGAAGTGGATCTCCGCGTTGGGAATGGAGCAAGAGTTGCTGCAGTGACCGTCGGGACTTATGGTCGTACTTTACCTTCTGGACTTGTGTTGGAATTACATGATTGTTATTTTGTATCTGCCATTAATTAGCAGGAATATTATTTCGCTTTCATGATTGGATTCTGATGGTTTTCATTTTGTTATTGAAAACAAAACTTTATCTATTTATAGATGCGCTTTATTTTATGGTAATGGTTACCTGTTTAATAGCATTTATATTTTAGATGATAAATCGTCTAGACACAGTTCAATCTATAACATTAGTACCAAACTGTATAGTACCAAAATGTCGAGCATACGAAATATATATAGATGAAATATATCGAAAACTGTAAAAAAATGTGTGAACCTCCTCTCGGTTTTCGTACTATCGTTTATATAAATTTTCTGAAATATCGATGTTGGCAACCTCGATATCGGTGTTGGCCAACATCGATATTCACCCAAATGGTTCGATCTCGAGCCTCCTGAAACGTCGATATCAATGTTGAGAAAATATCGATACCGGGGTTGGTCAGATCTCGAGATTTCCAGGACGTCGATGTCGAGAAAGTGTCGATATTGGGACTTTTGTCGAATCTCGATCTTGCATGGGAACGTTGATATCCAGGTTGAGGAACATCGATATCAAGGTTATTACAACGTCGAGATTGGGCTTCTTCCGCTCATTTAGCCTATTTCTTATCCGTGACATGTCTGCAGTCGTCCTTGGCTCGTCCGTGATCGCCCACTTGGTCCATTTAAGCTCCGAAAACACCGTTTTAACTCCTTTTTCGTCTAAGTACACGAATATACTTGAAATGAGACCAAAGAGCAAAGAAAATGGTTTCTGTGCCTAAAATGCAGTCTAAGTACTATATTTGTACGAAAAAGAGAGGTGAAATACAGTTAAAACTATAGGAAAATAACGTAAAAAACCGATGTTATCAGTGGATAGAGCGTGATTGTGATTATTTATTCCCGATGAGTCACACATCAGTACTGGTTGACGTCTGCAGTCGGTACTGATTTGTGGGTACGCATGGGACGTACTTAGTCGAGTCGCGTGAGGTGAAATTTCAATCAAAAGAGGTGACGAGCGTGTGAGGTGCGCAAGATTATGTGAGGTGACATTTTCATCACAAGAGGTGAGGAGCGCGTGAGGTGCATAGGGCCACGTGAGGTGACCAGTACCGTACCGTCACGTGAGGGGACAATGAATTGAAGGTTAGTCCTACGATATGATCGTATGAGTATGATTGTGATTGACATGTTATGGTTGTGTGTACTGTGTGCTTCTTGTGAATCGTTGATTAACACCGTTTTCGCTGAAAACGGGATAACCGGATAAAACCTGAGTTACTCACTAAACAGTTGTGCTTAGCCCTCTGTTGTTGAATTTTTTTTTTCAGATCTCAAGGAGCACGAGTAGCAGTTGTGATGACGACTCCTAAGTTGTAACATTATGTACGGTTGTTATTGTATTTGTATTTGGACTCGGGACGATGATCTCATATTTTTATGATCGTGTTTAAATGTTATCTCGAACATGTACTGTTTTAAAAGAACGGTTGTAAAGTTTTGTTTTTCCGCTACGTAAACTCGTTATAAAATGTTTTTTTTAATTCCCATAAACTTGTATTATGTTTATTTTATTAGTTTTATTCCATGTGACACATCATGTACACGGAATACGAGATACGGATGTCACAGGAAATAAGTGTTTAAATATGTGACAGACATAATATCTTCATGCTTCCAATGTTTGCGATAGATTAACTCGATTTGTTCCTCCTTTCTCTGAAAACGTTCATCAATCTCTACCCATAAATATAATTTCGCTTGGGATGAAATCACTACTCCGAAATCTGATGGGGTCTTGTTTTGCAGAATGTACAGGATTGGAATAACATTTGTGGTCTGAAATTGATATGACAAATCTTCTTCAATTCAGAGTCACTGTGGGTAGGATGGATCCGATCCAACTACTTGAACCGCAGAGATTTTTGGTCGATCAACCCTCTTCAACGTCACTTGTGAACATTGAAGAAGCTACTAATAACTACGCGAGATGACATTATCCAACAAACACACAACCATCGGTAACGGGGAGAACACCTCCTTCATGCATAACAAATGGGCTCTCTGATTGTTTTTCTAGGTCCCTTAGGTCCAACATAACTTGGCATCCATAAGCATGCTCAAGTCTCGGAGGATTTTTTGAGCGGGAACATGGCAACTACCAAACCCAAAGAACGAAAAACAGATACAACTAATGGCATTCTTTTTTTTTGTGGTTGACTGTAATGTGTATTAATAAAACCGTTTTACAACCAAATGTTCATCCAGAGTCTTACAAAATAGAAAGTTACAACCCAGGTGTAAATACATTAATAGTTAACCATCAAAATGTCGAAACCATGTATTTCGCAGCATTCCGTCAAGACATATTTTTCTTCCGTGCAGTTGCAAAGCCATCACCTTCCTTCGAGTAGCTGTCCGTATCTCTCGGCAAGTGATATCTCTCGGCAAGTGATAAGTGCAGATTGTGATCGATCGTTGTGTAGCCGACTGTTCCGTTCTTGCCACACGAAGTATAGAGTTGCTTGAAAGATAAGAAGTGTAAGGAAACGAAGGTACCGGTTGTTCGAGCATGTTCGTATCCAGCCGAGGAGATTAGAGAAAGAGCCGAAATGGTGCAGGGTAATCGGGACTCGTTGCAGTAGGGAACTGCACGAGAAGAAAAGGTGGCCTTTTAAGCATTCCTCACTCCCTTATCTATCTCAGCTAGTTCCAACACCAATTAATGGATGATTAATGGCAAGGGGAAACCCAATTTTGTACCGAAGACATTTGGCGTAGGCTTGCAAATCCAGGTTAGAGAGTGTCATGGTTCGTGGCAGTTTGGACCAAAGCACGGTTGTTCTGTCACAATCGGTACCCGACAAAAGGATCGGATGCTCACTCGGGGGACTATTGATCAATTCTTCCTATCTCTTCCGCAACCGCAACGTAAAATGTAGAAATCAATATGACAACACCCGGTCACGCTGCTTCGGAGGACTTGGCATCCACGACCACCCTGTGGAATGGAATGATATGCATGATTGCATTTGTTGCTAAGAAGACACGTAGTTACATGTATGCGTCATTTTATTCCTTTTTTTCTTTACATATTCTGTAACATGTACATCGAGGGAATAAAGTGTATTACATATTTCACCCCCTAAGCCTAAATAGAGGCTTAACGTTCTTCATCTTCGATACCATTTTTATTCTAAATCATCCCAAATTCCTTTATTACCAGAATTCAGATACAGTGCCAAAATAAGACCAATCGCCGGAAGTTTGTGTTTAGATCTAAAATTCAGACGCTAAGCAATTACTTCTCACAGTTTCAGCAGTGTACAAAACAAAACAAAAAAGTAAAAATATTTCATTGCTCTTTTTAGGTTCAGGGTTTAAATACAAATTCCAAAAACACATCATGGACTTGATTGGCCGTGGTACAAAAAAGTTGTCGCCTGGCCATTCTTTTTTTATTTTTTTTTATAACCGAATATTCTAAACCAAGATACTTGGGTTGGATGCTAGTCATGTTTGCCATTCTTATTATTGCTGCTGAAGAGCTGAAGAGGAGAAAAAAGCTCAGAGGAAATGCTTATTACCACGAGCAACGTTGTCGCTCAGGCGACGCGGGTGACTGCAGCATGGATGGCTTCTGTGAGGTGAGGGACAGTCTTGGAGCTTAGACCAGCCATGCTTATCCTCCTGTTTTCCAACCAAACATTCCAGAGTCATATTTATTTATTTATTTAGATTAGAGAATATAAATATATGAATCTGTTATCAACACCCAGATTAATACATAAATTTTAAAATTTTAAAAAAAAATATACATGATTTTTTCTGACTCCTAGTTAAAATAATGATTTTTTAAAAAAACTTTAAAAATACACAGAATTTCAAAAAGACTTCCAAAAAACTACACGTCAAATAAGAAACGATACAAACTATGCAACAATAGCAACAGCGTCTTAATCTCATCCCAAGTTTATTTGGGGTCAGACCGCATAATTCTCTTTTCCACTCATTTTGGTTTGACATTTTGATTTTGTAAAACGGTACCAACTATCCTGTAGCCAACTATTGGGACTCTACAAAATTTATGATATTAAGTGGGAGTAAAAAAAATCGTTTACATATATGGTATTTTCCCTATTTTTTTTCTTTGGTGCCAATTCGGTTGTTGCATTCCAAGTCCAGGATGGTGTGAGGTTTGTGAGGATTAAATGATAGAGGAGAGAGGGTAATAATTACCCGTCAGATGTCATGTAGATGTGGTATTCTTTAGTCATGAAAGAGACTTGGGCAGTGTTCAAACCCGTGAACGTGAACATGCCAATCTGCTTGACGATGTGACTCCAGTCGCCGGGCGTGCCTGTTAGAGATATCAACAGCTTACTCAGAGAAGATAAACCTAACACCTTACAACACAGTGGGTGGAACAAATATAACCCAAAAATAACGGCGCAAGCAGCAAAATGATATTCCTAATCAAAGAAAAAGGTATAGTATAGTATAGTATTCTCTGAGGAGAATGATAGGAAATAATGTGTCTACCTCGAGCACGTAGAGCATCAAAGAGCTGCTTCCTCATGCTGATAATACGATCAGCCATGGCCTTCAGTTCCAGAGTCCATTCATTGAACATGTTCCTGAATGTGAAAGTACACGAAGAATTAAAGAGAGGCCAAAACTACATATTCCGTTCTAACGCCCCACTGATTGTTACGCTATGTTGGCTTATTTTTTTGTTCAAAGTCTGAAAGAGGAAGAAGCTGTGGACTGAAGGTATTATTGAAGAAATGTGTTTTGTTCTTCTCTGCATTTTTGCTCTGTTTTTTTTTTTTGTCATTGACATTCAAAGAAAGTTATAAGACGAACCTGTCTCGCAGGATTGCAGCAACGATAGATGCACCATGGATCGGAGGGTTTGAGTACATCGGCCTGATCACAAGTTTCAGCTGGCTCTCCACCCTGCCTGCTACATCTGCTGCTTTGCAGACCTAAAGGGCAACACGACAAACAGCAAAAAAAAAATGGTTAATTTCTACGGTGCTTGATGAGCTAGTGAATGGACAATGAAAAGTACTCCCGCCTCTAGAACTGACAAATGATTTTTGTTCATTGCCAAACTAATTTCGCACAAAAATGATACAAATTACCCAGTGATATGGGAGCATCTGCTCATTTAAATGGCAGAATATGCTAGCATATCATAGCATCCTATGAATTCACTACAAGTTGGCTCTCTAGCAAAGAAAATTGGTTATGAATCTTACAATGCTTAGAGCACCAACTCGTTCTCCATAGAGACCCATGTTTTTCGCAAAACTTTGAGCGACGAGGCATTCTCCACCATCAGCGACAAACATCCTTATTGATTGCGCATCTGATTCCAGATTTCCACTTGCAAAGCCCTACAAAGATACGAAGCAAGACATAAATTCACATGTAAGACATGGTTTGAACTGTTTCTCTTGAAAAGAAATGATCTGATAGTGTTCCTTATAGAAACGACCCATCTGATGTACCTGATAAGCACTATCAAAGAAAGGCATCAACCCCTTGGATCGCAGCAACTGCCTGATTTGCTCCCACTGTTGAACAGTTGGGTCAACACCAGTCGGGTTATGAGCACATGCATGAAGAAGCACAATAGCACCCGAAGAAGCAGAACCAAGATCCTCTAATAGCCCTGCACACAAAACAAAGGAGTTGTAGATCGGCTTGAAACAGTAATAAAATTGCCAAGCTTCGTTAAGATTGCTATAAACAGATGGAACGACAAGAAGGCATAAGACAAAGTAGGATTTCAAGAGCAAAGGATTCCCACCTTTGAAGTTCAACCCACGTGTCGCTGGATCATAGTAGCGGTAAGTTTTCACCGACAAGCCAGCCAGAGCAAAAATTTTTGGGTGGTTGCCCCATGTCGGCACAGGAATATAAATTGTTTTCTGGAGTGAAAGTAGGAGATTATAAGGCCACACCAGAGGTCTCATTTGGAGGAAAAGCCCAATGAGACAGAAATGCGTTGAGCATGTACCTCATGATAGTGTTTGGCCAAAAACTCTGCTCCAACTCTCAGTGAACCAGTACCAGACAAGCATTGCACGGTTGTAACCCTATTCTCTCGAATAGCAGGGCTACATCATGTGTGAAGACAGCATTAAGGAACAATTCTACGTCAGAGGGCGCAATAATGAAAACCTAATTGAAGATTAATCACACATTATACCTGTCGGCACCTAATATAAGCTTAGCGCTTAATTTGTTGAATTCAGCCAACCCGACAATAGGAAGATACTCCTTCACTCGTGATCTGGAAACCGAAAATACAACACATGTAAATATCAAGAACACATACGGTGGAAGGAAGCTCAACCTTCGAAGAAGAGAATTCACCTGTCATTAATAATCTGCTGCTCGGCTTTCCTCACAACATTCAGAACCAAAGGTTTTCCATCCTATAAAACATCACATCAAACCATAAGTCTTTCTACACTGAAAACAAATTTCAATCCAAAAGATGCAGAACAAAGTTTACATTTCACGGCAAAAGAAGCAGTGAAAACAAGTTCAATAAACAGCAATAGGATCATTACCTCAGTTCGGTAAGCTCCAACTCCCAAATTCAACTTACTCGGGCTTGGATCTTTGTTATAAGCAACAGTCACCTGTTTATATCATGTTAAGATTACATGAGAAGGAATATCATATCATAAGAAAATATCAAAATATGAGTTGTATGGCCGACAAGCCAAGATACTGATCGGGAAACAATTGCTTGGGAGTTCCTCAATTACACAGGAAGAAATCAAACCCATTTCACTAAACAATCAAAATTACAAGAACAAACGTCAAAATTCATTCATTTCACCCATAATCATCCATATATTATTCAATCGCTGCTGCTGACGAACTAAAACGCGTAAATCAAATATTGCCTAACACCATATAGTAGAGTTATGAATGGCGATAATTTTTATTTTGAATTTTTTATTTTATTTTAGTTTTTTGTTTTTGGATTTTATAATTTTTAAAAAATTTTGATTGGAAGATTAATATTTTATTTTTTAGATTTTAGATTTTAAATATAAAATTATCAAAAAGAATTTTTATAAATATATAAAAGTAAAATTTTCTTTAAAATTATGGACCTTTGAATCTTTTAAATATTTTGTATAAGTAATATTTAATAGAAAATGAACAAATTTACTAACAAATGAAATTTTTTTAATTAAAATCTAATCACAAATGGTTTTTTTTTAAATGTCGGGTTTTTAAAAAAAATAAATAAAAAACAAAATTTTGATCGGATATTTTTTGAGTTTTTTAAAAACCAAAAATAAGAAAACTCAGGCTGTAGTAAGGAGACACCGTTGATGGAAAGAGAAAACTAATTGCAGTTATTGCTGCTGTCGAATAAAACAAAAAGGAGTAATTATCCCCAAATTAATCAGCGATGCAGACATATGGACACACGCATACACACATATATAGAGATATATCTGTGTGTCTGTGTGTGCGCGTGTGCACGTGTAAAGGCCAAAGATTAACAGAAGAAGGTACCCCAAGAATAGGATCCTCGGGAGCTTGAACAAGGTGAGCGAAGACAGAACCGCCGGCGATTCCCGACGTTGGCGAGGCGGCGACGGAGCTCCGAGGATCCATTGCCAGAGACTCTGACCCGCCGACGAGATGACGAAGCAGAGTGCCGATCCTGCGATCGCTCGACGAAGAAGAAGAAAATTCAAAATCCATTTTTGTTTTCTGCACTTGTGGGAGATCCGTCAGCTTTTGGTTTACTCATCAAACATAGCGTCTAGGAATGAACTCTTTTATTGAGGTAATCAATTTACTTTTAAATTCTTTTATTTTTGCGTAATCTGTAGAAATGCCACGCGGGCTTTGCATAGAGTTGCGTGGCTGACGTGCATGATTTACGTGGGGCTCCCAAGTTAAATGTTCTTTCTAAAACAATCCCCGAAAGTTTTGTAGGCTACAAAACCCCCAAGTTTATTAAGCTCGATTAAACCTTGTTTCATTCCAAACAATATTTACATATCCAAAGCGTAGAAGGCTTTATAAAAAAAAGTTATCAAATTTTTAATTCAAATCCTATAAATTTGGAGAAATATCCATATCTCAGAAATATTATGATGCTTACAGTTTCAAATATTTTAGGAAAATATGTTAGAGAGGATGATTTAATATTTTAGAGAAATAATGCTAGAATACGCCTCTGCTATCGAAACTAATTCGCCTCTGCTTGAGGGTTTCGATGTAACAATAAAAATATATAGGATGAAAAGGCAATAATCAAGATTTATATGTTCGATTGCTTAAAAAGGCAAAAGTTATCACCGTATGACGCGAAAATTCAACGTTTCATAAAAGTAGGGCCCGCTTACTCGGATCAAAGGGCACGCAAGTCGATGTCGCTCCGTTCCTTTTTACTTTTGTGTTTTTTTCTCCAATTTTGTTTTCAAAAATTAGAATAAACCAAAAAAACTCTGTAACGTTTGTTAGCATAAGAAAATCGAGTGGAGGGCTTTAAACGAATGATAAAGTTTTAAAAAAAAAAAGGTTTAATGAATGATTGGATTCTAATGGTAATCCACACATTGAAAGATTGATGTAAAATATCGATTTTGTAAAACCAAAGTTGGCTAGTCTTTGTATGTCTTTATATGGAGGGAATCAGCTAGTGGCGAGCAAATCTTCTCTTAGCACTCTGTGACTGATTCAAGTCAGTTCGAGCCGAGGCGATGTTCCGAACAAATCGAAGGATGCAATTTTGTCTGAGGGAAACTTTTATAAGAGTTTTTGGCTTTTTTTTTTTTTTTTGCATTCTGATTCGGCTGAGTTCAGTGCAACTCCAATAAAATTCTTCACTTAATTTACAAAATAAATAATGTTAAGAATATTACAGATAAAATATATTTTAAGAAAACGGATAAAAAGTAAAAGAACAATTCTGTAAAAATATTACAATTTATCTAAATATATCACATAAGAATTATCGTTTCAAAATTGGCAAATAAATATCGAATTTGATCAATTTACACCAACACAAACATTAGATGTGGTTAATATATGATGGTGTCAGTTTATTTCAAATAAATACTAAATTGATATCTATTTAGTACAAAATGATCAAATTAAAGTATTTATTTATCAATTTTATAATTAAAATATTTATATAACACCTTTACACAAATTACAATATTTTTATAGAATTTTTCCAAAAACATATTTGCTTTCTTTTTGTTTTTATCACATTCCCACAAAATCTCCGATTTGTATTTATGGATAATTTACTTTTCTTTGTCATTTTCTTATTGCCTAACACCATATAGTAGAGTTATGAATGGCGATAATTTTTATTTTGAATTTTTTATTTTATTTTAGTTTTTTGTTTTTGGATTTTATAATTTTTAAAAAATTTTGATTGGAAGATTAATATTTTATTTTTTAGATTTTAGATTTTAAATATAAAATTATCAAAAAGAATTTTTATAAATATATAAAAGTAAAATTTTCTTTAAAATTATGGACCTTTGAATCTTTTAAATATTTTGTATAAGTAATATTTAATAGAAAATGAACAAATTTACTAACAAATGAAATTTTTTTAATTAAAATCTAATCACAAATGGTTTTTTTTTAAATGTCGGGTTTTTAAAAAAAATAAATAAAAAACAAAATTTTGATCGGATATTTTTTGAGTTTTTTAAAAACCAAAAATAAGAAAACTCAGGCTGTAGTAAGGAGACACCGTTGATATGTTTTTCAACGGTAAGATATTGCATTTAGTTTTAGAAAATGCCTTTTTTTCTCTTTCACAAACATTGAAAAGAACTCTCTCTCTCGTTCGCTCGCTCTCTTCTGCTGGTAAGATTCTGACTGTCACTGAAATTTACATTGTTAGCTTCTGTTGTCAATATAGTTCCCTGTATCTACTGTGCGATCTAGTCGTTGTAATTTCGTCTGCGATCTGCTAGGTCGCTGAGAAAATTTGGAAAATCTTATGATTCGCGAGGAAAAGAAACGAGTGATTTCGTAGTAGTTAATTGAAGAAATTTTGATCAGGATTCCGTCTCGTTTTGTGTTTTGTCGTTTGTCGCTTTGTATTGGTTTCTGGCTTTGCTGTTTTGGCTAATTTTGTGTTTCCTTGCGAAAAGCATTCAAAGCGAGCTTTATCAATATTTCTCTTTGAAATCAATGTTGGAAGTTTTTATTATTAACTTCCCATTATGTTAATGGTCTAACATTTTCTCCATGTTGTGTTAACTGCATGATAACCACCCAATAGCAGTTTTTTCTGATGGAGAAAAAACAATAAATAAGGATAACGTATTTGGTCCCTAAGCCAAGCAAAACATATAGAAATACACCATCAGTATTGTATTGCTAAAGGTTTAGAAGCACCAAATATTCAGATTTCAACTCAACCATTTTCAATGGTTGGAGGTATGTGTTCGATTCAGAATTTATTTCCGCATACATGATCTGATGTATTAAAATTGTTTACATAGAAGATCATGATTTAAGATGAGTTTAAAGAATTTTTAAACTTACAATCAAGTAATTTTTGGATGTATAATTAGTGCAAGGACATGTTTAAAGTTGCGGATTACCATTTTCTCTCTATCTAATTGCGGTATTCTGCATGTACGGTGACCAGAATAAGGTGTCGGGAGTAGTAGTTGTTAAAAGTTGCTGAGAAAATTGGTGGAATTGGTCGTCCTATTGATGAATAGAAAGAGATGAGAGTTTGGATATAAATGAACTTATTCGATTGATCGTCTCCAGACTTGTGGTTTATGTCTACATTTTGTTCCATCCCATGAACATGCCACCACTGCTTCATGGATGTTCTCTTAGCTTTAGTATATACAGAAATCTGGAGTAAACATCCGTTTTTTTGTCTCTTGGCTCAATTCCTTTTGCTGTGTTCACTATCATCCGGAAAGCTATGTCGGGCTGCTTGTGAAGTCGAACGACATTTTGATATTTATGTGTTTGGAATAGCAACTTATATCTTATTATATGGTTTTTGCAGTTCTACAGTTTTACCCTTGGTATACCTGTAGCTTGGTAGTAGCATTCAGATATGCAGGTTAGTCATTTAAAGTTTTCTTGCTTGTTTATATTTCTTATGGATGTTTCCTAGAAAGTGATCAAATGCTATGTATGTGATTCTGTACGTGGTCATGATTGATTGGTGTATGGTTTCTCTCACCGGAATCTTGGTTGGTGGGGGGAGATTGCATATTGTTTTTTTTGGGTTAAAATTATTTCATAACTGAGCTCTTCTGATGGTAGAATAGATACGATAATTTGGATCCACTTTGCGGTGTTTGTTCTAGCTTGTGATATATTGACCATACCCTGATGGTACTAATGCTATCGGCAGGCATCACGAGCAGGACTATTCAAGGAATGAAGGAATACAAAGAGGTTCAGCGAGAGAAAGTAGCTGACCCGGACATTCTACTGGTGTGTGACGAGTCCAACATATTCAAATGGACCGCCCTTATTAAGGTGCACAATCTATGTTTCTGTAAATGACAGTGATAGTGCTGACAGCTGTTAAATTAGATTCATATGTTTGTTGTTCTCTCGGGAGATAGGGACCATCAGAGACTCCTTACGAGGACGGGGTGTTCCAGCTTACATTTGCTGTCCCTGAACAATAAATACCCTTTGCAACCTCCTCAAGGTGATTCTTGACAAAAATATTCCATCCAAACGTGCATTTCAAGGTATGAAATTGTTTCAATATGTGTTATCTCGTTGTCTTTGTGGACAACAGCTTTCTGTCTTTGGAAGAAACATAATTTGTAATTTAAGTCTATTCATGAAAGAGGAATAATGGATCTGAAATCCAAACCCGACTCTTATATCTCCTAACCAAAACTTTAAAGCAATTCTCTTATTGGTGCCTCTTCTATGACGTATATATTATCTTACAATGAAATAGAAAATGTAGAAATAACAGAAACTTAAAACACGACAGAAACAGAACAAGAAATTTGCCGGTGCTGCCAAATGAGATTCTCTCTGGTTCCACTTTATCTGTTTCAGGGACTCGTGTATATTAATAGAACTTGGCGGTTATCATCTCTATGTGTTCTTCTCGCATGAATAAAACAGTACAAGAGGGTTAATAGTTTCGTAAAATGACCTGAAACTGTGATTAATCTGTTAGACCCGTGTGCTAGATGAAAATATGATATTTTGATCTGCTTGTTTTTCGCTCGATAATATGTCTGGATATCTTAAAGAATGCATGGAGCCCCGCATGGACGCTTCAGTCAGTGTGTAAAGCTATAATAGCTTTGATAGCCCATCCTGAGCCCGATAGCCCTCTGAACTGTGATTCTGGTAGAACCCTCTCATCTTCTCTACTTTCCCGTCCTTTTCCAAGAAATTTTGGTTGGAATTAATCAACTATCCAACGAGATTAATCAATGAGCATTGCTGGAACTTTGGCAGGCAATCTTCTAAGATCGGGTGATGTGAGAGGATTCCATTCGATGGTACGCATGTACACAAGGCTGGCAGCTATGCCCAAGAAGGGATGAGGGCATTTTCTTTGTCAGAAAAGACGGTTTCACATCACAGTGACAATACTCAAAACATAAATTCCATTTTAACACTCAACGGTTAGTTTTCTTCTCCTTGGAGGCTCTAGCTAATGGCCTCTTCATTAGAAGAGACGTGTAATTATACTTGTTCCGTTACGCTATTGTGCTCTTGTCTGCCGGTCTTTTACCATTTCGGGTTGCGGAAGGAACAACTAGGGAAATGGAAGGTTAAAGGAATCGAATGAAGGATTTTAGTCACACCAATTTGCACAGTTTGTGGAGAAGATGTGTGTATTTTACGGCGTTGGGTTGCAAATCCTTACCTTATCTCTATTATTCTATACCTTGGTTGATTTTATAATTGCAAGCTTGCAGCTCTTTAATCTCATAAACGTTGGGTTCTACGACTGCTTAGGTGTATCAACATATATGGATGAATTGCTAGATTTCTAGATTCACACAAAATGTTTGTCGGATTCATAAATAGTCAATATCAGATTTTACAGATACAAACGGACAAATGACATATAATTGTACATAAGTGACTAAAGAGGCAAGAGTGATACTGCCTCAGGTAAAAAGGCACCCTCCACATGATGATACGATAGCCTGCATTCATTCGGCTGACACAAGCTCGTATCAGGTTTGATATCCATTCGCACGCAAGGACCGGTAGCTAAATCTGAATCACAATCGAAACCAAATCAAAGCAATCAAGTAAGTGATGGTAGAAATATGTCGAAGCAATGATAACTAAGATAAGAAAGCAAATAAAAGCATGTAAACTATCAAGCAAAGATGACCGTGGGTGTCGGGACCGTATTCGCGTGTATGGGTATATGCTAAGCATGCGAGAATCACGATATTGAATTTGTATTCCGGAATCGTCAAGCAACAAAAATAGAGAAATCACGTACTGACATATAACTCACTATCTAAAGTTCTCTAAATCCATATCCCTATATGATTTATCAAACTAGATGCATGAAGAACGCTATTATCAACCTTAGATCGATCAAACCGTATTCCTATGTGAATAATACGATCTATTCTATCGATTTTGACCCGAAATTAAACTCATATTCCTATGTAGTTCAGAATCTAAAACAATTTATCAAGGGGTCAGCAAACACCAATTGACATAAAGCGCAAATCGATAAAACCGAAACATATCCCAATCGCAACCAAGTTAGGGTACAAACATACCCAAAACACAAATGAATCTCTAACCCACAGTCGTGGATCTACTCACGGTTCATGAAAAAACACAGAGTAAAACCGAAAACAGAAACTAAAGAGGGAGAAGAAAGATTCATGTCGACAAGGGATGCAATCTTCACGTTTCAACTTTCCTTCTTCTGCCCGAAATCCCGTAAACTCTTATTTCTCTCATCAAAGCTCTCCAAAGTCTAAATCTAAGTGTTCTCTAAGGCTCTCCCATGTTCTAGAACATGGATAGACCTATTTTATAACCCTATGGTGGCTCCCAAGAGTCTTTTTCTCATTAGAACTCTAAAAATCACGAAATAGGATTTTTTTGGGTTTTGACTCGACCGAGTCAAAACTCTGACTCGGACTCTTCACGAATTTGCTCATAACGTTTTGCTCCGATGTCAGATTTGCGTGATTTTGAAGTCTACGCGAACCTCTTGAAACGCTCTTTCCAATGATACAAGTCTCTCATGATTTGGACTTTTGTAGAGAGAGTTATTGATCTCGCAACATGAGTCCTCATCCGAACTTCATCTCTAACGCTCCAAAAACGCTCATTTTCGCGTCCAATCATCTTCGAAACCTGTACTAAAGCACAAACGGGTTTTGTGTCCTAACACGCCTAGAATGTCTATGAATGCGTGTGATTATCCTGTAAAACCTAGACAAACTCTCATAAAAATATAGAGAAAAATAGGAGTTATCAGTTATCTTATTGTAAAACATTATAAAACACTTAAACCAACACATACACAGAGTCACACACAAAGTATCAAAAAATTGGAATAGAATTTGACCAAACAAACGAATTATTAGATTAAATCGGGCGTCCGAGGAGTGCTCTCAAGGATTTGATCCAGATCAGAACGAGGCAGTTAGACGGGATAAATCAACCGAAAACCCATTTTGAATTGACCTGGACCGAACCATACCAAATATGATCCGCACTGGACTGACCAAATATGGTCCATCAATCACGATTCGATCTAGAAAGCGTTTTGGGCCAGACTTTACTTGAGAATCGAACCAGACTAGATTAAACTTCGGGAAAATTTTCTTTTTTCCGATGTTAGGGTTTTAGAATTATTTTAAGGTTTGGGGACACCACTGAGATTTAGAACGTACCTTTATAACTCTTAATATCTAGGTTCTAGAAAGCTTGAGAAATAGTTCTTCTTGGTTTCTAGATCACAGGATTGGATCTCAAGTCTTCAAGACTCTAAACTCTTCATAGATCCTAGAAAATCAATTCTAAGGCGCTCGAAATCTTTTTCGTCGTTGTGGATACATGTAGAGAAGTTGTACTTTCAACTCTAGGTGATTGAAAGTTGAAACATGTCCTGGATCGATTGCCTCATCAAATTAACTTCTTCAAAAATCAGAAAAGTTTTTCGATTCCAACAATGATATACATGAGCATCGGGTTTGATTATCGGTTTCTTATAATTGTTTTTTTATTTCTTCTACTATGTGAAAACTACAAACCGACTCTAACACATCTTGATGAATTCGCATATTAGAAACCCGTAGAAAATTCTAACTGATTGGATATGATTGATTGTAATCTATTCAAATATGTAACTTTGAAATTTTCGCATGATTACATGGATCCGATTTTGTGAGTTTTCTTTGTTGTTGTTAGGCCCGGACCATTATAAAATCCCGAGGTCGGTCGACTAAAAAGATAATCCGAAAACACCCCTCACCTTTTTTTCTCTCCCTTTGTTTTTTGGGTTCGCCATCTCCCCTTTGTACGCCATCGTCCCTCTTTGTCGCCCAACAATAAAACTGTCGTCATCCCGTTTTTTCGAACACGTTTTCATCTTTTGTCTTCTCACCACGTGCTTTCTCGACCCTCTTTTTCTGGTTTCTCTCGTTATCTCGAGTATTCAATCTTTGGCTTGGTTCGGATCGTTGTCCAAGACTCTTCATTCTCGACCAACGTCGACCTTGTTCGACCTTTTGTGACTTCGGCGTGCTAATGCTTGACAAAAATCTCTTTGTTTCGAACCGGCGCATGTGGTTTCTCGATTTCCCGTCTAACCCCGTGACAATTGGAATCCCGTGTTATTGGGGTATACACTCGTTAACTGACTTAAGATTTTGATGAATTTTGGTTTGGTTTGGTTCATAAATCACTTTAAACCAAAAAAAAACGTCGACAGTATTAGAATATCTTGGTTTGGTTTATTTTTTATTATTTAGAATTTTAATTGGTTAAAATATGTTATAATTTTTTTTATTTTAAAAAAACGCATTTCTCATTTTTATTAGTGACACGGAAAACATTTATATCGATATTACAATAGATAGTTCACCATATTGGTCCAGATTACTGATCCAACCGCTGTTAGAACCAAAATTTGCTTGGTGATTTCTTTAGGCCATTAGTAAAGCGATCATCATATTGTGCACATGTACCTGCACACACACACATATAAATATACACATGCATATATATGTATGTATTTGCTTATGACAACAATTTATATAGACATGGAAATAAAAATGGAACTTGTAAATCGATGCAAAAGTTAAAACTTTTAACTAAAAAGTGAACTCTTTGGAATGAATGATGGGCATGAAAAGAAGGCTCATAAATTTGACCAGAATTTCCAGTCTCAACGTATGCTATCACCAACATACTTGTTGACCGAAACCCGACCTGCGCTTGGTTCACGGACTTCAGTAAGGTATGTCCAAAAACCAAAATGACTTCAGTTTTGTTTGTGTACATGTCCGATATTTTCCAGACTATGATCCCTTTACGTAATCAAGAAGAAGCCGATCGAGCTCAAAATGTTGACACAGAAGTTTCTGCAACACAAATCAATCAGAAGATCTCATTACAGGGGATTCAATCACGTAATAAGCATCAGATGATATTCCATGAAAGTCAGATATTCACATCATCAATCACGTAATGTGTCAGACGATAATCCATGAAAATCAGATATTCACATCATCATTGTAATCTGCATCAAAATATCTTCGTCCTGACTTCGATAGATTGTATCAGCGATCAACCCCTCATTATCCCACGATCACAAGACTTATTAAATACGATTTTTAACATTGATTTTTTTGTCTGATGATGATTTTTCTAACATCAAATCATATATGGTATACATATTTTGCATAGTTTTCTAAGTTTTATCCACCGAAAAAATAGTTGTTGGTTGTAGATTCCGATGTTAAACACCAAAACAACAGATAGCATTCAACTGATACTAATTCAAGGGCTTTTACAGGTTATATGGCACTAAGCAGCGGCTAATGTAGACAATCAAAGGTGGTGTGTTTGAAATTTTAAGAGTTGGAACAATGTTATGTTGTTTGAGTTTTAGGGTTTAAAGAGGAGGGCGTAGATACTGGAAAAATATGAGGAATGCAGTAATGTAAAGAAGTGTGTACCTTGGTTATGGGTAGCGAAGGGGTAGCTTCGACATAAAAGTCGGGAAATCGGGAAACCTCGGTTCCCTTCTCGAACAATATGTATGTGGGCAGCTGACTCATCCCACCTTTATGGTACAGAACAAAGGCGTCAATTTGCTTGCGGAATCGAGATTCAGGATCAGGAGAGATTAAGGATGTTTAAGTTTTTACAAATGACTAGGATTTGCAAAGGATTAATACCGGCAAGAGATATTCCAAATTTTGCAGCCACGTTAGGGAAAAGTCCCAGATCAACAATTCCGAAAGACAAAATATCATTCGAGTACCTGATGGAATAAAAGATCAGTGAGCATGTGTTTAAGCTGAAAATTGAAACAGGGTAGTTTCAGAAACAAGCTTACGTGATGGAGAGCTCGGGAAAGCAGCGACTTGAACGAACAAACGCTGATGAGGTAGATGCATAGAACTCTATCTGCAAGGTTTGAGATCATAGCTCGTCATCAACGAAATAGCTTGGACTGTATTCTTTTGAGCAAATGTTGGTGCACAAAAATTGATTCCTTTTTGGTTTTAAATTTAATTATGAATATCTTACGAGATCAAAACCCGCTTTGCAAATCATTGTCCAACACATCCTCACTAGCGATCGAAATCAGCACACATTCACACTATTACCAATTAGATCTGTGACCCCTCCTAACATCAGCCAGCCCACAAAAAATGTGTTATCATAATTAAAAGGAAACTATTTTAGTCATCCAAAAACTACTGAGTCTTAGTTATATACCATCTAAAGACGACAAACTAACTTATTTTGAAAGAAATGTCCTGTTACGTGCGTTTAAGTATGACATAAAGGTCACTGAACATACCAACCAGCATGTCGTTGTGTTCCCTTCTGATAGCAATTCCTCCAACTGCAAAGGAGTCAACTTTTTGGCAGTTCCTACAAAATTCGTCCACACCACAAAGAAGGGAAAACCAAGCATTTTATGATCACAGGGATCTTAATGTTGCATATCCAGAAGAACCAACGGTGCTACTCTCTCCATACCTAGTTTATCGAATGCGGGTTGCAGAGCCAAGAGATATATAACTGCGAAAACGAAACGATCCATTTAACCTTAGTAAAGATTGAAACGAACCTTTGATTCCACATTGACCAGATATATCAGATTGCCAGAGGAATAAACTGAAAAGATGATCTGAAAACCTCTACTGGGAACTAAGAAAGGGTCTACCTGAAAATGCAACAGAATACCAGAGAGCTAAGCGATAATCAGTAATCAACGAAACCGCGATGAGAAATATCTGCATAACCAAAATGTGAATCAAAATCAACAACACTTGAGTTCATTTCACCAAAACCCCAAATAACAAATTTACAGATCAGTGAACGATTCAGGCAACAAATGAACTTCATCGGCTTTCGGAAATCAGCAAATCACCTTTGCATAGAACAGAATATCTGCGATGAATGCCTCCCACGTTTCTTCCCTCACCATCTACAAACCGTTCAAAAAATCAGCGGCATGTGAACAAGAAGCAGATGAAAATATAAACTCAACCAGATTCGAAGAAACACTAACCTTAACAGCAGAAAGCATCATAAGCGCTAGAAATGCTTGGATTTCTCGATCCAGAAGTCGATCGGAGACGTAAGGAGAGGCGGAGCTACGAATCGGTAGGTAAGAGAAAAAGGCGATGAAATGGAGAAAATAGTACGGCTCCGACACCATCCGATTCAGCCATTTTATTCGTCCTTCACGCTTCTGCACCATTATCAATTTTTATGATGATTCTTCGTCCTCAGATCTCCCAGGTCTCACAAGTTCTTCCTCAGTTCGTAAATCTGCACTTCCGAAGAACAAGACGAATTTTTTTAATTATATTATTTATTGGATTTTTTTATATAATCTATCTATATATATATATGGGTGTATGCTCTATAGTTTCGTCCCTCCGTTCCGTATCCTTAAATGATGGGTTTCTTATAAACCTATTGGATGGGTTCGAAAAGGATATATCAATTAAAATACACACAAAAAAATCTTATCAATCCCGCATTATAAATCCGGATCTAACACATTTTTTTTAGGAAAATAACATTTTCCAATATAAATTATTACGTTTTTATATACCAATTGTTAATTTCATGAATGTCTACATTGGATTTCAAATTTTATCAAATATCTATGTTAATTTGCAAAATCAATTAAAATTTCTATACCAAACAAAAACGACATTAAATTCAGTCGATCTCTGTTAAAGACAATTAATCAAATACCCTTTTCGTATCACATGGTACATTTATCAATTGTCTATATTGCTCTTAAAAAAGAGTAAAAGATTTTTATATCTTTAATAAAATAGATGTTGGTGTGTCATAAGAAAACGCATGTGATTCAGTAAAAGGAATTTCAACAGAACCTATACAAATTTAGAGTTTTTTACAAAGAGAAAAAAAGATAAGTAGAAAAGAGAAAAATTCTGGTAGCAGATTCGACAAAAAAACATAATTCCGGCAAGAGAAGAGAATAAAGGTTTTTTATTTTACCTTCAACAAACAAGAAAATAGATATGTCATCATCAAATGTTCACGGATCTTCTTCTGTACCGTCAGAGATCTCAAGTCGAAATGAATCATGTTCCTCTTCACTGGCCGAAAGAGGAGGGTTGAATAGTTCGAAGAGAGCGACTTCACCTTTAACATCACATGTAAGAACTTCCAATATATGTAAAAATTTATGGTTGAGTTTTAGGTATTTAGGGTTTTGTTGTACTAGTATTAGAGTTCAAAGAAGGGAAAAATTGTTCAAAGAAATGTGAAATGGTTCAAAATTAGACGCAATTTGTTGTAATAAGAGGATTTTGACTGGATTTAACTGAATCTATGTTTTAATATATGCAACTAAATCGATTTGTTTTATAACAAATTGATGATGCACTCAAACCAGATTTTTTTTTAACTTCGACGATATGAACAAAATATCGGTCAAGGTATCTTCGAATTGTTTCCATACAGATGCCGTGAACTTTCTTGAAAAACATGTGACCAAGGAAGAGATTGTATTTTTCACAAAACAATATCAATTAAGACATCAATTCCATATGTCGAAGAAGAGTTTAATGGTGGCATTGATAAACCGATCGGTGAGGACGAAAGAAGAGAAGGAGTTATAGTTTGTTATTAATGGAGTTCCAATTCGGCACTCCTTGTGGAAGCATGCTATTTTGTCAGGCCTAAAATGTTCGGAATTTTCTGAAAATTAGAAAGAAATTGGAGGTTCTAAGTTTTACATAAAACGCTTTGGTGAGCATAGGTCCGAGAAGGTTTTGATGATGGAAGTTTTGAAGAAGTTTGTAGAGTTGCCTGAAGGTGAAAAAAATAATAGGATTAAGATGGCGTATTTGGTGTTGTTGACTTATATAATAGGACACCAACACACTGCTTTTGTCAATCTATTCCTGTTGAGACTTGTTAATGATATAGCTGCTTGTGAAGCATTCCCTTGGTGAACGTTCAGCTTCAAACAAGTAGTTGGTTTTATCCACAACTATCTGAACGGACATAGGAGACCAGACAGTCAATGGAACCTATCAGGTTTTATCATTCCACTTACAGTAAGTGATCTAATAAATCATGCATTATCTAATTGCATTTTGAAATATATTTTTAATATTGTGTACTTTAAATTGTAGATGTTACTGTTCGAATGCATTCTCAAACTCTATCATGACAGGTGATATGATGACTTGGTATTGAGAGGAGATGTCAATGAAAAATTTCCACAGATATGCAAAAGATGCTTTCTCCTGGATCGTAAGTATGGCATAAAGAAGGGGTTAGCGAAGATAGACATGACACATGTATATAGTTAGTAAATATTCAGTATAGAGTAATCGTAAATAAGTATAAGTTGCAAAAAAAAGTCCTAATAAAGTAGTCGTCTATATAGTTGCTGAGAAGTAGTCGTAATCTAGAATGGTTGATTTTTTGTTTCAAGAAATTGACAATATTCTAATATAAAAAAAGGATGAAGAACCACTTACTAAGAGTGTCGATGGTGTAGATAATGAAGATGAGATACTTGATCGTTGGATGGATCGTTCGGTAAATGATCTGGGATTTGTGCATTGGGAGGATAACATTGAGGACGATGTAAAATCATGCGTCATAATTCCAATGGTAAAGAAACAAAACAAAAGAAAAACTTCTACTTCAACCAAAAATTCAACACACAAAAAAAAAAAGAAAAACAAGGGTAAAAGTCATGTGACTGAGGAAGAAGAAGAAAAAAGAGAAAAAGAATCAGCTGACGAGGTAGAAAAAATTAACAGAGAAAATCAAGCAATTTCAGACTTGAAGCCTGAAGTAAAAAAACCTAAAAGGAAGATTGGATACCTGAATAGGCAATTGGCTGGATTGAATGATTGTTTGGAGGAGACAAAAAAATATGTTTGAAGCAGATGAAGGCCAAACTGAATATACAAAGAAAGTGATTACAGTTGCATTAATCACAGTAGGAAACGCGACGAGAAACAACGAATCATTCTTTGAAGAAGCAACCAGATTTGAGTTCTTGATGAATAAGATGAATGAGATCTTGGTTGCAAATGAAAAGAGTGATGGTTCACCCACTACAAAAAAAAACAGCGTTTTTGCAACGAAATTTGCAACGAAAATTATTTCGTTGCAAACTTTGCAACGCTTTAGCAACGTTTTGCAATGAAAAAAGTTTGCAACGAATTAACACGTTTTTGCAACGCTTAGCAACACAATTTTTTCGTTGCAAAGTAGCAACGAAACTTGCGTTGCAAGTTGCCACGATTAGCAACGTTATTTGACGGGCGAAAATGTTGCAACGCATTTGCAACGCAACGAGAACGAGTAGCAACGCTTTTACAATGCATGAATTTCGTTGCTGTTAGCAACGAAAATTTCGTTGCAACGAGTAACGTTTTGCAACGCATTTGCCACGCAGTCAAATTTCGTTGCTAGGTAGCAATGCAACAATTTCGTTGCTAACGATGTTAGCAACGCAAATTATTCGGTGTCAGAATTGCGCTTTTTGTAGCAACGAAATTGCGTTGTAAATCTGTTTTGCAACGCAATTTCGTTGCTAACCGAGAAATATCGCAAACGCAATTTCGTTGCAAAACGGTAAAGTCTATTAACAGGTTTTTACTTTGCAACGCAATTTCGTTGCTATATTTTTCGGTTAGCAACGAAATTGCGTTGCAAATAATTTTATAAAACCCTCTCCTCCTCTCTTTTCCCCTTCAAACTTCGAAAATTCGAGAAAAAAAAATGACATCGAGTGGAGGTGATATTTATCACTTTAGACAATGGTTATACGAGAGAATTGATACATCTATGGGCAGTTTAAGCATCCAGTATGAAGAGGGGTTACAGAATTTCATGCAATTTGCGACAAGTCAGAATCAGTGCGTAAGAACGGGTAAAATATATTGTCCGTGTGCACGATGTGAAAATTCTAAATTTCTTACTCCAGAGGTGGTTCTAAAACATCTATTCAAAAGAGGTTTTTTCCAAATTATTATGTTTGGGTTTATTACGGTGAAACGCTCGATGTTGTTAATGTTCCTACCATTAACGACAAATTTATTGGGAGGAGTAGTGAACCAACTAACCGTTACGTTGATATGGTTCAAGATGAATTCCCTTCTCAGTTTTGTTCTAACAGGTCGGAAGATGAAGAACCAAACAACGAATCAAAGAGGTTTTTTGATTTGTTGGAGGCAGCTAATCAATCTATATATGAAGGGTGCGTAGAAGGATTATCCCAATGATCTCTTTCAGCACGAATGATGGGCATGACGTCGAGTTATAATCTGACGGAGAATTGTATGGACGAGGTATGTCAGATGATGACCGATTATCTTCCTGGAGGTAACCATGCTCCTGATTCCTTCTAGAATATGTCTAAATTCATGGGATCATTAGGCATGAGGGCTATCAAAATCGATGTATGCCAGAACAGCTGCATGATTTTTTGGTCTGGAAATGATAAAGAGTTATCGAATTGTCGATTTTGTGGAGCTGATCGATTCAAACCCAGGAAAAATGTGCAACGTAAAAGAGTGTCGTATAAACGGATGTTTTATTTGTCGATAGCAGACAGATTGAAGAGATTATACGAATCTCACAAGACAGCATCTCAGATGCGTTGGCACGGAGAACATGTTTCGGATTCAGGCAACATGCGTCATCCATCAGATGGTGAGGCATGGAAGCATTTTGTGCAGCTATATCCTGATTTTGCCTGTGAGGTGAGAAATGTTTATCTATGTTTATGCACCGATGGTTTTGCACCGTATGGTCAGTCTGGAAAACAATATTCATTATGACCAATTGTGTTGTCGCCGTATAATCTACCACCGGAAATGTGTTTGAAAAGAGAGTTTTTATTTCTGACGATATTACTGTCGGGACCTTCTCATCGGAAGAAGAGTTTTGATGTGTTCCTCCAACCTTTGATTGATGAATTATTGATGTTGTGGGAACAAGGTGTTGATGCGTATGACGTTTCAACAAGACAAAACTTCAACTTGAGAGCATTGTTGATGTGGACAATCAGTGATTTTCCGGCTTATGGAATGTTGTCTGGGTGGAGTACTCATAGACGTTTAGTATGTCCTTATTGCATGGATGAGATTGATTCATTCCAATTAAAACATGGGCGGAAACCATGTTGGTTTGATTGTCATCGCAGATTTTTACCATTGGATCATCCATGGAGGCGCAACAAAAAAAATTTAGACGGAACAAAGTTGTGACCGATCCAAGGCCTTTCTCCTGACGGGTGATGAAATATTGTACGATTTGATCCACAGTCCATCGAGAAAGGTGACATGTTATCCGATCATGTTCACAAGAGGATACACGTTTCACACATTCGATCATGATTCA